ACCTTAATTTTTCCTGTATTCATTCCTGTGTATTCTTCAGGGACCAGGGAGAAAATATTAAGGGTGAGGTACTTGCTTTGTATGTAGTTGATCCCTGTTTGTTTTGTTTTGTTTTGTTTTGTTTTGTTTTGTTGGGGGGTGGGAGAAAAAAGGCACACTCAGCAGTGCTAAGAACTTACTCCTGGCTCTGCTCTCTGGGATCACTCCTGGAAGTGCTCAGGGGACCATTTGGGGTTCCAGGGATCAAACCTGGGTAGGCTGTGTGCAAGACAAATGACCTACCCATCATACCATCGCTCTGGCCCCGCAGATGACCCTGTTTGATCTTTGGAACCACACATTATCCCCCACCGAGAGTGATCCCTGAGCACAAGCCAGGTGGAACCCTCTGAGAATCACCAGGTGTAGCCTAAATTCCACGCTACCCGCCCCCCACAAAAAAATATAATCTGGAACTCATATCCTTAGCTGTTAGCATTGCTAAGACATGTGAATCTGGGCATGCATTCTAGTGATGGTGAACTTTGCCCTCTCCCTAGGATTTCTATGATCAGGGGGTTACTATCAGGGTTCAGTAAAAGTCCTCTCCTTCCCAACTGTGCTAGAGCATAAACTTCCATTAAAACCAACATTTTCAGGGCCTGGAGCGATAGCACAGCGGGTAGGGCGTTTGCCTTGCACGCGGCTGACCCAGATTCGATTCCCAGCATCCCACATGGTCCCCCAAGCACCGCCAGGAGTGATTCCTGAGTGTATGAACCAGGAGTAACTTCTGTGCATCGCCAGGTGTGACCCAAAAAAATAAAAATATAAATAAAACCAACATTTTCAGCACCAGAGTGATTTGCCTTGCATACAATCAACCTGGGCACCCCAATGATCCCCTGAGCAGCACCAGGAGTGATTTCTGAGTCCTCCTACTAGGTGTGACCCAAAAGAAAAAAAAACCCACAATTTCTTGCAGCCTCTCATATAAAAGTCGTGAATTAATCTAACCTAAAATCGTGTGATTTGTGTCACTGTACAAGGAAAGAGGTGAATCCCAGGAAGATCCAGACCTCCCTGATTTATCTACAAGTCCTTCTTTATCTACAGATGCTTACAACTGGAGGAGTCCGATAAAGCAAAGGATGTGAAGACAAGGAGGGAAAATGTCTTGATTGCTTCAGTCCTAACATTACAGGAAGCATCTGCTCTGAGAACAATAACTCTCGGGCTCTGAAAGAGAGGAACATTCTCGTTTGAAGAAGGGAGAGTGCTCTCAACAAAGTCCACTTCAACGAAACTAACTGTACTGAACAGTCCAAAACAATCCCTGAAAAAGTAGGCTGTTTTTTTCTTTTTCAAAGACCCATTCTATTCCCAGATCAGTGTCCAAACCAGGCTCAAACTTTTTAGCCTTCCCAGGGGATTAAGACATTCTCCTCCAGAAGAAAATCTAAGAATGAAATTTAAGAGAAAGAGAGAGGCCACAGTAACACACTATGCACACACACACACACCTGCAGTGTTAGTATTATGTACAGGAAAGAAAAAGAAGGCTGCAGAAAAGACAACACAGAAGATATTCTTGAGTAAGAGTACGTAAACCTCTAAGCAAAACCCAAATATTTATCAATACCACCCATGTTATTTGCAGCTCTGTGCTACAATAAAACTACCAGAGTAGCGGAACCAAAACGGTAACACTAGCAAATAACCTGCCTCAGTATTACCTGCTGTGATTTACTATTTCAATATTCCCTTTAGCCACTGTCAGAAAACCAAATTGCTTTCCTTTTCACAAATAGTAGTTCAATAATGAAAGTAGAAATCTGGGCAGGGGTGTGGCACAGAGTCAAAAGCTCATACCTTGAGGTCAAAGCAATAGCATGATGGGTAGGGAGCTTGTTTATATATATGCAAATTGGGTTGAATCTCGGCACCCCATAATGGTCCCCAGGACCCCATTAGAGCTCAGAGCCAGGAGTAAGACCCAGGCAGCCAAGGGTGGTCACCCCACCACCACCACCACCAAAAAAGTGCATGCAAGAGAACAGGATTCAACTCCCAGCACAGAGGAAGGAAGGAAGTGAGGGAGGAAGGGAGGAAGGAAGGAAGACCTACAATCTATTTTTTCTTTTTTTTCCCTCCTACCTCCTTCTTTTTTTTAACTTTTTTAAATCAGATCACTGAGCTAGACCCTTACAAAGATGTCCATGATTAGGTTTCAGTCATACGGTGTTCCAACACCCATCCCTCCACCAGTGGACATTTCCTAGCACCAATAGCCTCAGTTTCCCTCCCACCCCACCTCCCCCAACCTACCTTTATGGCACTTTCTCTCTCTCTCCCTCCTCTCTCCCTCTCCATCTCCCCCCTCCCCCCATCTGCATCAAAAAGCACAATGCCTATTTTGGGGGCACTGTGGTTAGCAATACACATACTGAAACTCAGATACTCTTTCTCACTATTACTGTTGTTTACTGATTGCCTAATAGGAGTTAGAGACGTATTTCCCACATTTTTATCTTTTATAACAAAGTCTATGTGGGATCTTAAGCAATGAGTCAGGAGTAGCCCCTGGGCACTGCTGAGTGAACCCCACCCCACCCCCTCACCCTACACCCCCAACACACACACACCCAAAATAAGAGGCCAGGGAGAGAGCTCCCAGGACCTAGGGAAGCTGTTTCCTTGGGAGGCCCAGATGCCAGCACCAGGTGAATGGCCCCGAGCATCCCAGGAGCAACTTCTAAGCAGAGAGCTGGGACTAGCCCCTGAGCACTGCCAAGATGACCAAAAATCCCTAAATAAGTAAGCAAATTTCACTGTCCTCCCGTTGTTCATCGATTTGCTCGAGCGGGCACCAGTAAGTCTTCACTGTGAGAATTGTTGTTAATGTTTTTGGCATATCGAATATGCCACGGGAAGCTTGCCAGGCTTTGCCATGAGGTCAGGATATTCTCAGTAGCTTGCCTGGCTCTCCCAGACGGACGGAGGAATCGAACCCGGGTCGGCCACATGCAAGGCAAACGCCCTACCCGCTGTGCTATCTCTCCGCTAAGTAAGCAAGTTCTCTGCTAAGTAAAGAAATTAATTAGTAAATAAAATAATAAATTTTTTATTATAATCAAAAGCATTGAAGTACTTATATTTACCTCTTGCCCAAGGCCAAGCACATAGAAAAGCAGCAGAGTCCTCTACTTGCATGTGTGCGGCCCTCGGTTTCGGCAAAATAAATAACATATATCCCCCAAAAATAAATCAACATCTATCCCCCAAATTATTTTTTTCCTTAGCATCAAAAACAAAGGCATTCATTGGCCTGTTTAATTCTGGAGCAGGACAGGTCCCAAACTTGAAACCAGATACCTGGATTCTTTTACAAATGGCTCTTGTTTTTACACTAATTTTTTTTCTTCTTTCTTTTTCTTTCTTTCTTTTTCTCTTGCTATCTGTTAATTTAAAAATTAAGAAATAGAGACTGGAGAGATACTTAGTATAGGAATTAGGGCACTTGCCTTGCATGCAACAGACCCAGGTTCGATCCCCAACACCAGAAATGGTTCTGAGAACTGCAGGAGTGATGTCTGAGTATGGTAGACCCAAGAGTAAGCCCCAAGCACTTCCAGGTGTGGTCTCCAAAAATCATGAAATATTTCACAAAACCGGGTCTTGACAATTATGTAGCTTTTCTTTTTCTTTCCCCTGAGTTTATTTAGTAAAATCATCACAACTAATAAATACAACTGGTGTCAGACTTCTATCTCTTCCCATTTCTCTCTTGGGGCACACACTAGCCTCCACTTCTCAGCCTTTTTCGCAGTCAACTGAGGCCCCAGAAGAATGAGCAGAAATGATGAGCCACTTGTAGACTTAGCCTATGTGAGAAATTCCAGGCTCTTCCCTGCAGACTTAGAAAACACTTGACCATATTGTCACAAATTAGAAAGTGTCCAGATCTCTAAATCTGCACACGAAAAAGCACCCAGAAAGACTGTTTTGAACTTCACATACAAGAATTTAAAATGTAGGGGCTGGAGTGATAGCACAGCGGGTAGGGCGTTTGCCTTGCACGTGGCCGACCAGGGTTCTATTCCCAGCATCTCATATGGTCCCCCGAGCACTGCCAGGAGTAATTCCTGAGTGCATGAGCCAGGAGTAACCCCTGTGCATCACTGGGTGTGACCCAAAAAGCACTGTAGCTCTGCAGCACAGTCCTCCCGTTGTTTATCAATTTGCTCGAGTGGGCCCAGTAACGTCTCCATTGTGAGATGTGTTGTTACTGCTTTTGGCATACCGAATACATCAAGGGTAGCTTGATAGGCTTTGCCATGCGGGCAAGATACTCTCAGTAGCTTGCCAGGCTCTCTGAGAGAGGCAAAGGAATCAAACCCGGGTCTACCCAAAGGTAAAGGTAAAGGTAAAGGTAAAGGTAAAGGTAAAGGTAAAGGCCCTCCCGTTGATCGTCAATTTGCTCGAGCGGGCCCAGTAACGTCTCCATTGGAGACTTTGTTGTTACTGTGTCTGGCATAACGAATACCCAAAAAAGCAAAAAAAAAATAAAAAATAAAAAATATATTGGCATGGGGGGGGTGAGAGGGGGGCCCGGGGTGGGGGGCCGAACTGGACGGCTTGCCTTGCACGAGGCTGACCTGGGCATCCCATAGGTCACCCAAGCACCAGAGCATTGCCTGGTGTAACCCAAAAAATACATAACAAAATAAAGTGTACTTGGGCCCGAGAGATAGTACACTGCATTAAGGCACTTGCCTTGCAGACAATTGGCTCAGGTTCAATCCCCAGCACGATGATGGAATGATGATGCCTGAGCTCGGCCAGGGGTAAGCCCTGAACGCAGCTGGGTGTGGCCCAAAAGTGAACCGAAAGATTAATAAAGAATAAAAGTGTACTAAATAAACTACTGCAAAACTAAAGTTTCTCTCTCATTCTACCTGTCCCCTGGTTTAATTTGCATGCTCCAAGTACAGGGCACGACATCATGCTGTTTCTCATACCTTTTTCAAAGACCCCTTCTGCTTCCAGCACGGAGACTGAGAGGTTGTTGGCTTTCCTGAGCACCTCCGCCTTCACAGTGACCTGTGGGGGGCTGTGTTCCAGAAGCTCTACCCCGACTGTCACATTTCCTCCAGGCCGGATGATCCCAGGTGCTGTCACCAGAAACTGGGGCCTGTGGAGTTTCCAACAAGAGAAAAAGCAGATTTCTCATTTTTTTCTTTTCCTTAAAACAGATTTCTTCTCCTCCCATCTCCATTCTCTTGCGATGCGCAGATTTCATGGACAGTCAACATACTGTGACAACGGCAATTGTTCTCATTAATCTCACCCCCTAAAGCAGTGGCATGGAAATGCCATTGGAACAACAATGCACATGAACCGAGTTGAATATCCTTCCTGTACCCCTAGTGAAGGGCCGTGTCATTATGTCCATTTTATAAACCACGGGGTCCAGAAAGGGTGTAAGTGGTTTATAGTGGAGCAAGCAGAAGTTATCAGCAAAATATAAGGCACGAGCCTCTCTACTCAGAGGTCTTTATCATAACGTGGTGATCTTCTTAAAATACACACACACACACAAAAGCCCGCATGCTTCCTGTTTCTTATTCAAACGTTCCCATCTGAGCATTCGTCCAACAAAGCGTTATCAAATCAGCATCACTGTTGGAAACACAACCTCTGCAATTCATCTCCTAGTGGTAACGGGTCCCAGTCAGGCAGAGCCCTAATAGTGCGTGTCCTCTGCCCCCCCCCCCCCCAGGAGAGCTCGGGGTTCAGCTGCAGAATCCTCTAGGAGCGAGGGCGGCACTTTTGTCTGCCTTGGCTGTGCCCGATTTCTCCTCCTCCCTAGGCTGCCTGCACCTGAACCACTTAGAGGGCAGGCTGGGATTCACGCTCCAAGGCCAAAGTCGAGGTGAACACTTTTTTTTTTTTAATCACACGTCTATGAGAAGGAAGGAGCACGTTAGGCGGGAGCAAAACAGTTGAGAAAAGAGCGCAGGCAACGTGGACTGAAAGTTGAAAACCTGGGGCTGGAGTGATAGCACAGCGGGTAGAGCGTTTGCCTTGCACGCAGCTGACCCGGGTTCGATTCCCAGCATCCCATAGGGTCCCCCGAGCACCGCCAGGAGTGATTCATGAACGCATGAGCCAGGAATAACCCCTGTGCATCGCCGGGTGTGACCCAAAAAGCAAATAAAAAAAAAAGAAAAAGAAAAGAAAGTTGAAAACCACAGCTAATCTGGAAAAAAAAAAAAAGACACGGTCGGAGGCGCGCCCTGAAGATTGCGCTGGGCCGTGACAGTAAGTGGCCACGCAGAAAAAACCAACTCGAGGACACCTCTGGCCGAGGCTCCCGGCCTCGTAGGGACCCTCCAGCCCTGGGCGCCACATCCCCTCCCCACAATCCCCGCCCGGGCCCGGCGCGACCAGGTGGCCCGACGCGCGCGCTCCAACCCCGCGCGCGCGCCCGCCACGCGCGCCCTCACCACGCGCGCGCCCGCCACGCGCGCGCCCGCACTCCTACCCCGGGGCCGCGGCCAGCGCTGCACTGCACAGGCAGAGGAGGTGGGCGGCGGGCAGCAGCAGGGGCAGCAGCGGCTGCTGCAGTGGGCTCTGCATCTCGGCGGCGTCTGCCTGGCGAGCCCGTCCGGTGCAGGAGAAACGCGGGCACGGCGGGGTGGGGCTCTCCACCGCCTCCCAAACTTTTTTTTTTTTTTTTTTTGTCCCCTCCTCCCTGCCTCCTCGAGTTTAGCAATCCGAAATGGGCGCGCCTCGCCGCCCAGTGGGAGATCGAAATTGAGACGGGACGGGCTGGCTCCACCCTCCCGACTCGCATCACCAGGGCGCTTCTTGCTCCTCCTGCAAACGGGTGGGGGGGGCGGGGGGGGGGGGAGGAGGGAAATCCAAAGATTGTGGGGGGGGGGGGCGGGATCCCAAAGCCAACAACCCACCCTCCCCCGCCCACCCCACCCATCGCGGTCCGTGCAACCCTGCTTGGCTTCCCGGAGGAGACCCGGGGCGCCCACCCCAGCCCACCGGATTCCTGGGGACTGTTTACACTCGCTCGCTCCCGGCGGATGCCCAAGAGTGAACAAACAGGCCGATCCTTGTAGGAGAATTTCATAGCAGCAATGTGACGTGGGGGGGGGGGGGGGGAGTCAATAAATCATTGCCTTGCAGACCCTGAGTCACAATTACACACACACACACACACACACACACACACACACACACACAAGCACGCACACACACACGCACGCACGTGCTCACCCACGCAGGCACGCACCCCTGTGTATTTTCTCGGAAACTGCTTTAAGTATCTGAACGCGCACCAGTGGCAAGACCGTTTTCTTTCCCTTCAAACACGAATTGAGGAAAAATATGGGTGTTGTTTTCTTGTTGTTTTTTTTTTTTTTTTTTGAAATCGGCTTTGAAAAGAAAAGGAAAAGATTCTGGCAGATGCCAAAGTTAGCTCTTACGCCTTGGCACCAAGAGAAAGGCTTGTCTAGGGAGATGTTTCTTGCTCCGGGTGGGCTCTGAGCACTTTCCTTTGAGCTCCAGCGCCTGGGAAATGGGTGCAGACACAACACTGCTGTCCCCTCCAAGGCCAGTGGCCAGTGGAGTCCAGACTTCAGAGCCACCTTAATGCCCCCGCTTTCCTGGCAGGTCTGCGGTTCCTTTCCCAACGTTTTTTGGCACCGGCCACCAACTTGAGATGACTCAGGTTTCGCCATGACAACACCATAAAAACAGACACCGTTGGAAAACAGCACATTTTCTGTGCTGGCGACCCAAGTCTAATTTCTAATTCACGACCCAAAGTCGGAGGCGGTGACATTTCATCCGGGGGCAGCATGCAAACGGAAAAGAGGTCAGCAAAGGCACGTCTCAGGGCCAAGCCACGTGCTAAAAAGAGGCCCCTGGATAAACTGTGGTTGCTGGAGTCCAGGAACTCGCCTTCCTCCCTTTCCTGTTCCACCCTGCTTTATCCTGCTGAGCCGCCAGCGAGCGAGCGGGGTCCCCAAGTCTTCTTCCCGCGACCGGCAGCCTATCTTTAGCAGCTGCCTTCCTGGACAGGTGGGACGTGGGTCCGGAGAAAAGTGACGGAGGACAGGAGGTGACCGTCGCCACAAAGGGGACTGTCATTTGCTCGCCTTCACTTGGTGGTTCTAAGGAGGACCACCCAGGTCAGAGAGGAGCCAAGCGTGAGATGGAAATGTGGCTTCTCCAGCTCTCATGTAAGTGAATGAGGAGCACATGAAAACCAAGAAGAGAGAGAGAGAACAAAAGGGAATGCCCTGCCACAGAGGCAGGGTGGGATGGGGGGGATGGGGGGTGGGAGGGATACTGGGATCCGTGGTGGTGGGAAATGGGCACTGGTGGAGGGATGGGTATTTGATCATTGTATAACTGAAACCCAAGTGCAAAAATGTGTAAGTCCACAACTGTACCTCATGGTGTCTCACTAATAAAAAAAATAAATTAACTAAAAAAAAAAAAAAAAACAACCAGGCACTGATTTAGCAGGTCTGGGATGTAGGCTGAGATGCCGCTTTGTTTCATACACAGTGGACCACACAGAGTCTATAGATAAAGGCAGTCTGGGGATATGCGGAGAAAAAGAAGTGGGAAACATGAAAAAAGAAAAAAAAAACTCCAGACTTCAAAAATGGATCAATAAATTCAAGTTTATTATAGAAGCAAGCACATGCCCAAGGGACTCCAAGAGATTACTTGATTGTGTCCCGTTCCAAGATGTCTTCAAAGGCTTAGAGTCACCTAGTTGCTTTTAAAATTAAATTACAGGGGCTGGAGCAATAGCACAGCAGGTAGGGCGTTTGCCTTGCACGCGGTCGACCCGGGCTCGATTCCCAGCATCCCATTTGGTCCCCTGAGCAATGCCAGGAGTAATTCCTGAGTGCATGAGCCAGGAGTAAGCCCTGTGCATCGCCAGGTGTGACCCAAAAAGCAAAAAAAAAAAAAATTTAAATTACAGGTTTTAAATCGATGCAACGTTACTTTGTACGCCCTCCTTCTCACAATTCACATTTGTTGAACAGCTTAACTATGCAGAAAGTTGATCCTGTGAGTTTGCATAGAGATGAATCTAGTTCAGGCCTCGCACAAGTTGCAATGTGTTGAGAGGGCCAGATAGTACACAGGGAGTGTAGAAAGCAAGGCACACGGCTGACGCGGTTTGGTTTGATCCTCGGCAAGTGGCTGGAACGATAATACAATGGGTAGGTGTTTGCCTTGCCCAACAGGGTCCAATCCCCAGCATCCCATATGGTCCCCGAACACTTCCAGGAGTGATTCTTTTTTGGGGAGGAATAGTACATTATATATTTTTTTAATTTGTATTAGTGAAACACCATGAGGTACAGTTGTAGACTTACAAATTTTTGTGCTTGGGTTTCAGTTATACAATGATCGAGTATCCATCCCTCCACCAGTGCCTATTCTCTATCATTTACTTTTTTTTTTAATTTTTGTTAGTGAAACACCATGAGGTACAGTTGTAGATTTACAAATTTTTGTGCTTGAGTTTCATTTATACAATGATTAAACACCCATCCCTCCACCAGTTCCGATTTTCCACCACCACGGGTCCCAGTATCCCTCCCACTCCCAATCCCCCCATCCCACCCTGTCTCTGTGGCAGGGTATTCCCTTTTGTTCTCTCTCTCAGGAGTGATTCTTGAGTGTAGAGCCAGTAGTAACACCTGAGCATCATTGTGTGTGAGAAGAAGAAGAAGAAGAAGAAGAAGAAGAAGAAGAAGAAGAAGAAGAAGAAGAGGAAGAGGAAGAGGAAGAGGAAGAGGAAGAGGAAGAGGAAGAAGAAGAAGAAGAAGAAGAAGAAGAAGAAGAAGAAGAAGAAGAACTCAGCAAGGTGCAAGGTCCCACCAAGAGTGATTTCTGCAGCACAGCGGGGTGTGGCCCAAAATTTACAAACAAAAAGTGTTAAGGGTCTAAGTGCTTGCCTTGCATGCATGAACCTGAGTTTGAACTCAGAACCACAGGGGGAGAAAAGATTAAAGAGGACTAGGGAGCTAGCTCAAAGGCTGCAGTGTGGGCCTCTATGCAGGAGGCTTAGGGTCAATGGAGGTTTTGCACAGACCCCTAACACTGCCAGGAGCATGACCGTGTGGGGCAAAAAAATAAAAATAAATAAAATAATAATAATAATAATAATGGAAAATGTTCATCACAGAGCTGTTTTTGTTTGATGTTTTGGTTTTGGGACCACACCCAGCTCAGTGCTGAACAGACCCTGTGGCATCAGGGAGCAAGCCGAGGGCTCCTGCTTTCAAACCATGTGCTCCAGCCAATTGGGTCATCTCTCACCCCCACCCCCTCCACCCACCATTAGTTTTGTTTTTTAACTAATTAAGAGAAATTAAGAAAAACCAAACTAACCTGAGCACTTGTGCAAGTGATTGTGTTAATTATGATATACCAACCCCACGCAAGATAATGGGATGAAGTAATTTTAACATTACGTTCTTGAATTGAAGACTAATTATCTAGAGATAAATATTCACGCCTTGTTATTAGTGTGAGAAGTCTGTTTTCTAAAGCAAAAGGTCAAATGTGACCCATGTTATAAAAAGAAAAATGTGCCCAAGTGTACATACCATTGTAAATATATGCATTGAAGAAATATTAAGAATATTCACTGACAAGTTATCAATATTCTGGCAGATTCTGTATCTGCCAAGTTTTCAACACATATATTTTTTTTTCTTTTTGGGTCACACCCAGTGATGCACAGGGGTTCCTCCTGGCTCTGCACTCAGGACTTACTCCTGGCGGTGCTCGGGAGACCATATGGGATGCTGGGAATCAAACCCAGGTTGGCTGCGTACAAGGCAAACGCCCTATCCACTGTACTATAGTTCCAGCCCCATCAACACATACAATTTTTTAAGAAAAGGTAAATTAGATTGTTTTCAAAATGTCCCCTTTAAGGTATCAGCATAGAAACTCTAGAATAAAATTCATAAATTTTGATAAATCATTTTATCTGATTCTCCTGTGTGAAAATGAAACAGTATTTGGCATAAGAAAAACCCTTCCTGGGATCTCTGCTGATCTTCCTTCAGGATGTGGTTCACAGGAAAAAAACAGAACAGCAATCAGACAGACGGACACAGTCTGCATGGCAGGAGCCGGTAGATAGATAGGCATGCCCGTTGGCTCTAAAACTGAAAGAAAAACAGTTGTTCGGTGTCAGCAGGGGTAGAAGCTGCCTATGGACTAGGAAAAGAAAATAAAATGGAGAAGGAGAATCTCAGTCTCTCTTACTATCTCTCTTTCTCTCTCTCTCTCTCTCTCTCTCTCTCTCTCTCTCTCTCTCTTCTCTCTCTCTCCTCTCTCTCTCTCTCTCCAATGCCCTGGCCCCCTGGGTGGGGGGCAGGGGCGGCAAAAATTCTCTTTTTCATTCAGAGCCATAAATGCACTTGACACAGAATTCAGAAAAGCTCCAGGAGCAAATCCTCTGAGAACAGGAGCTGCAGGCCCCATCGCTGACGCCGCAGTCCCACAAAGCAAGTTAGCTGATCACAGTACTACTATTGGCCAGCAGCTCAACTTCCCAGAATAAAACTGGAGGATTCTAC